TGATAGGTGCTGGGCTTCAACACGCGGCAGCGCAAGGCTTTCCTGAATGCGGTGATGCGATGGGGCATGCCATCTCAGGACGCCTTCTCCTCTCAGTGGCTGGTCCGAGACCTCAGGGGAAAATCGGAGAAAGAGTTTAAGTAAGTTACAAAACTTTTGGTGTATTTACCCTCATTTGGTAACAGTCGTCTGTTTGTATCCTTCCTCATCAGAGCATACGTGTCTCTCTTCATGCGTCACCTTTGTGAACCGGTCGCCGACGGGGCCGAGACGTTTGCCGATGGCGTCCCGAGGGAGGGCTTGTGTCGCCAGCTGGTCCTGACTCGTATTGGTGTCATGTCGCTGGTCAAGAAGAAGGTCAGAACGAAGCAGGAGGACTTTGTTAGGTCACAGAAAGGGCAAATAAATAGGTTTAAGGCAAAGAAAGGACAAAAATGTTTCAAAAATCCATCGTATTTAAAGAAAGGAGAATAAATCCTCTGGGTAACGAGTCACTGCGAGTACAGCATGACCACCTGAAAGTTCATTATAGTGCAAGAAGGTTTTTGTGGTTTCTGATGTTTATTCTAACTCATCAGCTGTTCGAATCACGTTTCAGATGGCAGGTGGCATGTTCTTAGCCCTTTCAGGGCTTTTCCTTTTCAGGTCAGGTGGAACATATTTTAGTCTCCAAATGTAAAATGTTTACTATAGGAATCTGGTAAAAACAACAACAACTAAATTTAAAAAAAATCTAAAAATATGGGACGTTTTAAGAAAAACGTGATGATTATTCTACGTCATTATTTCACATTATTATTAATAAAATTCCTTTTAGTGATTTTTTAATAACTTTTTATTGCCACAAATTAGTTTAAATGTTTTTGCTATGGACATTGAATGGCTTAGAAGGAAATACTTTTTTTAATACTTATTATAAATAATAAAAATGCAAAGTTTTGATTGATTAAATTATAAGATTAGCTACGTAAGTCAGCTGTTTCCTCGGGGAGTTTACTGCTCTGATTCCATTTTGTCTGTTTATATGATAAATGACCCGCACTTGTGTAGCGCCTCTCAGAGTAAGGACTCCAAAGCGCTTTACACTACAGGTTATCATTCATCCATTCACACACACATTCACACACTGATGGTGATGAGCTACGATGTAGCCACAGCTGCCCTGGGGTGCACTGACAGAGCTGAGCACAGGCGCCGCCGGTCCCTCCGACCACCACCAGCAGGCAAAGTGGGTTAAGTGTCTTGCCCAAGGACACAACAGCAGAATTCTCCGTCCGGAGCCGGGATCGAACCTGCAACCTTCCGATTACTGGACAACCCGCTCAACCTGCTGAGCTACTGCTGCCATCCATTTTTTCCATCCTGTCGTCTTCCAGCCAGTTTTCGGTCCAACTTATTCAAACCTGCAGGCGTCCCGATATCCTGATCTGTGCCACGGGTGGATGTTTGATTCCCTGCCAGCCCAAGTTGGCATGCGGGTGTTGAGTTTAACGAGCTGCATTTGATAAAACTCCTTTGATTTTCAGATCCAGGAGTTTGAGCACATCAACGGGAGGTGGAGCATCCCGGAGCTCAAACCTGAGATCAGCGTGGATAAATCCTACTCCTCGCGGGCGTCCTCCCCTGCCGCTAAGACCGCCACTCCCACCCCGGACGCCAGCTTCAACAACACGCCGTGCACGTCCACGCCAGGTAACCATGATGCGTGCTGCACGTCCAGCAGGGGGTGCTCCTAGTCTGTTATAAACTGTGTCTGTGTGGACAGCTACTCCTGCTCCATCAGAGAAGCTGGAAAAGAATGGGAAGGAGGAGGAAAAGGAGGAAGCTGATGCTGCTGTGGATAAGGAGAAGGTGAAGGAGGTGGAGGGGAGCAAGCATGGGGGTGCTGAGGAGGTGAGCCATGGTCAAATATAAATTCATCATGAAATGTCCAAGAAGTTTTTTATATTAACAGAAAGTGACTCTACTGTCTTTAGTTCTCCTCCTCAGCAAAAGGAGCATCACAAAAGTCGTCACCTGGTCAGAAGCCTGAGGGCAAAGAAGAGAGTGATGCTAAAGAGGACGACAGGAAGGAGGACCCAGCTGAAGATGTGCCGACTGCCTCGGTGGAGGAAAGAAAAGTACACGAGGTCAAAGAGGAGAAATCAGGTGAAGTAATAAAACGTAAAGGCAAATTTAGCTTTTCAGTGATTGTAGAGTCATCAAAAAACAGCTGTTTGCGTTTACAGAAGGAGATAAAACCGGCGAGGAGAAGGAAAAACGAGAACAAGAGGAAACGAGAACAGAAGCGTCAGAAGCCAAAGATAAAACCGAGGCGACCGTTGGGAAAAAAGGTGCCTCTCAACCTCGAGTCAGAATAATAAAAGCTTGTTTGTTGATTTAATCTCCTAAAAATATGATTTGTCTCTCTTAGTTGCAGAGGAGGTCAAAGGTGAAAGGGATGTTGGGAAAGAAATCAAGGCAGCTAAGGAGGAGGCGCCTAAGGGGAACGGGAGGCCTCCGACTGAGCGGCCACGCTTCATGTTCAACATCGCAGATGGAGGATTCACAGGTTGAGTTTATCTACACTAATAATGAAACAGAACATGATGCTTTCGTTACCTATATCCCTAAAATGCTTATGGGGTAGTTGAAACGTTTTAAATTCAGTAGAACAACCTCTGCTACGAGGAAAGATTAGTTATGATTGGATTGACAAGCTAACGGCTAGTCCAGGGACTCCTAAACTTGTCAGCTCTCAACTCAAAAACTCACAGCGTCAAAGACCAGCTGCTTCATATATTGCTGGATGCACCTTAGAAAAGATGCTAAGCTAAAAATGTTCAATTAAAAACAGCTTCATGGCTATCATTTTAGCTTTTATAACAAACATAGTGACATTATGATTTTAAGACATATTATTCTTTCTTTTCTTGATTCTAGAAATCATCTAATGCCTGAAATAAATCTTGTTTATTTGACACTGTCTAAAATGATGGAGAACATGGTTAAAGTTAAACACGCTGGATGTGAACACTTTCTTCAGCCCTTATCGCCTGTGTTAGCCTCAAAAAGAAAACGGACTAGGAAACAGAAAAAGACAGTTTCTTCTATGTTACAGTGATAATTAGTATTCATGGCCCCACCCACCTTGACTCACGAGATCAGAGCGCGTCTCGGCTAGTAGAAGCTAACCATTAGCAACTCCACAACATGGTGGAGCTTTCTGGCTAGGTTTACTTGCGGAGATAAAACATTAACGTTGAACTTTCTACCCGAGAGAGAGGAGCGAGCCGAGGCAGCAGAAGAGTTGTGTGGCTGTTCACCTTGATTATTAATGAGTGGTTTCCTACCGCCCCACTCCTCCGAAAAACCTCTACCCCTGAAACGGGAGTGCCAGAGTTATTTTCTCCCACAGAAAACAACTCATAAGGCATTTATTCACAATAAAACCCCAATTCATCCATCCAGTTTCTTCTGCTTATCTGGAGTCGGGTCGCAGGGGCAGCAGCCTAAGTTGAGAGTCCCAGATTTCCCTCTCCCAGCCACTTGGGAATCCCAAGGTGTTCCCTGGCCAGGTGAGAGACACAGTTCATCCAGCATGTCCTGAGTTTCCCTTTAGGTCTCCTCCCTGTTGGACGTGCCCGGAAAACCTCACGAGGCAGGCAGCTAGACGCCAGAGCCACCTCAACTGGCTCCTCTCGATGTGGAGGAGCAGCAGATCTACTCCGAGCCCCTCCCGGATGACCGAGCTTCTCACCCTATCTCTAAGGGAGAGCCCAGCCACTCTGCAGAGAAAACTAATTTCGGCCACTTGTATCCGCGATCTCGTTCTTTCGGTCACTACCCAAAGCTCGAGACCATAGGTGAGGGTAGGAACGTAGATCGACTGGTAAATCAAGAGCTTTGCCTTCTGGCTCAGCTCTCTCTTCACCACGACAGATCGGTACAATGCCCGCATCGCTGCAGACGCACCGATTCATCAATTCACCTTTCAGTCTCGCTCTCCATCTTTCCCTCACTCGTGAACAAGACCCTGAGATATTTAAACTCCTCCACTTGGGGCAGGACCTCATCCCTGACATAGAAACCCCAGTCATGATGAGTAAATCAAACTTTTAAAGTAGCAGTCATCCGGTTTGAATTAGCTTTGACTAGCCATTAGCTCATCAATCCTACAGGATCTGATCTCCACAGCAGATAATGTATTCGTTACATTTTCACAGAAACTAAAAGATCAGAGCTGTTTCTCGTTGAGGTTCAGAGCTAGACACGACTTCCTGACAGATTGTTGTTTCATTTCCTCACCAGTGTGACTCAAGCCATTTACACCCAACACTAATAGAGAGCCATGAGGTAATGGAGTAGTTTGTCTTTGGTTAGACAACATTTCACAGGAAACACCACAACACAATGTCGTGCTTAAGGAACCGTGTGGTCGGAAAAATATAAAAGTTCAAATTGAGCAAAACACAACTTTCCTCACTTCCTAAAAAACTTCCTCAGAAAAAAAGCCAAAGAGAAGATTTTAAATAAGTCCCACCAACTTAAATGGCTGGTTTTAGGTGTTTTGTAATAGAGCAACATCAAACGAACCACTTCTGCAAACAAATTAAACGTCACACTTACTTTAAGAACTTCTGTGCAAAACCACAGCAGTGGGACAAATTTATCCCCAACCCCAGAAAAGCTGTGGTTAACACCTGCAGCCAGGTTTCAGCCAGCTAAGCAGTTTCTACCTCCGTCCCACAGAGCTGCACACTCTCTGGCAGAACGAGGAGCGGGCCGCCATCTCCTCAGGGAAGATGAACGAGATCTGGCATCGCCGACACGACTTCTGGCTGCTGGCGGGAATCGTGGTGTATCCTTGACAGCGGTTGCCCGGGCGATGAACCCTGTTGTGTTTATTTTTCTGTCAGAGGAGCTCGGTGTAATATAAGGCAACACGCCAGCCAGAGCTTTCTGAACAGCACTCTGTCTGCTGGAGCTCTGTAGCGGACCGTTTAGCTTGTTCTGTTCACTTCGTTGTAATTATTAGCCACAATATTTATTATAATGCAAAATAGTCCTCTAGACCAGGGATCGTCAACCAAATTTGTTCAAGGGCTGGAAGTTTTTTCTAGATGCTCTTCTAAAATAAAGTTAAATTATTATTGTATCTTAATTTATTAATATTTAAAATGACTTTGTTTTCCATCGAAACTGTTTTGATTGTAGTTTTAGTTGTGTTTAGAGAACTTAAACAACTATTGATATTTGAGACATGAATTTTGCTGCTGAACTACTAGGGTTGTCACGGTGTGAAAATTTAACCTCACGGTTATTGAGACCAAAATTATCACGGTTTTCGGTATTATCGCGGTATTTTTTTAAACGTGCTACATTTTCACACAACTAAAAAACCCTGTATGTCAGGAAAATATTGTCCTCAGTTTGCATCTAAATTTTGCCTAAAATGTGTTATTTTGTAATTATGTTGTTTATTTGTTTACATTTTTTCCCTTTAGTCTTTAAAATACCAATATTTGCCTATAACTTCATATTTTTTGTCTGTTTGATGTCATCATATAAACAATATTAGATCAGATGATACTCAGTACTCAAGTAACCTTCTAATCAGATACTTTTTTACCCTTACTTGAGTAATAAACCCTATATCAGGAAAATATTGTCCTCGGTTTGTGTCCTTCCAGTGAGCTTTGCAGATTTGGGAAAATGTCATCAGGCAGTAATCATTGTTAAATTCATAATTATTCTCGGAGAGAGACCAACTCTTATCTGCCCCTGGGAGCCCCGTAATGCATAGCGTCATTTCAACATGGCGGTGTCCGCGACGCGGTTTATATGCAGGTAGCGGCGCTGCGGCTGCTTTATATAGCGACTCGTTGCATTCTCCCTCAACCCAAATCCTCTGATCACACATTTTAGCTAAAACGCTAACGCTAACTTGCCTTGCGTTGACTGTAGAGCTGTGGGTGATGGTCACGCAGATGTGTCATGAGATTTGAAGCGTTGCTGCCTTTCACAGACACTTTTTCTGCACGTGCTGCAAACAGGATAGCCGTCTTCTATCAGCTGTCCCTCGGCATTCTTCAAATATCAAAAAACGCCCGTACTTCCCACTTTGTCTTCTTTGAGGGATAATAAATGTCCTGAGCGCTGCCGTCTCCTCCTTTGGCCATTATTTCAGCTTTAGCTTCAAGAAAGTTTTGGTCGTAAACAACAAAGTGCGCATGTGCCACCGGCAACTTCAGCAGATGATACGGTGGCTGGTAAGGGTCACCGCGCCTACACCGCAGCCACGGTAATCCACCGAAATAATATACATTTTTAAAAACAAGGCGGTTATTATTATTGTCAACTTTTTACCGGGAATTACCGCTACACCGGTTACCGTGACAACCCTATAACTACAAAGTCCCCCAACTGCAGGGCGTTAGGGCCCAAACGGTTGGGGGGCCGGGTGGAAAGGTGTGGCAGGCCGGATGTGGCCTGTGGGCTGCCAGTTGAGGTTCACTGCTCTATACCCGTTAAGCTGACAGGAGATTGACTTTATGTTCAAGTGAATGTAGTTTATTTTATTTAAAAAAAAAAAGAATAAATATGAATATTAGCCTAAACCCAACTACACTGTAATTTTCTTAACCAAGTTATGTAAACTGTTTTGACTCAGTGTAAACTTTTACCATAGCCAATAACAATGTATATTACTCTTTACAGTTAAGCAGCTAGATTCAGTGGAACCAGCCAACAAAACTTGGTTAAGTTAATTTAACATTTAATTTTTTACAGTGTACATCCATGATTTTAGCTATTTAACCCGATGCACATTTATCACGAGTTGACTTTTTATCATTTTGAAATAGCCAAGCTTGTTTTTTGTCATTATCTGGAATAAATGATGTAATTTCTCATGATTACAAAATAGTCTGTGCCAAAAAAATGTGTCTCTCTCGTAAAGAATGAGTTGTTTACATCTTATTTATGAACCATAAAATGTGAGATTCCATAGAAACATGAAATATCAATCTGATGGATCTTTGAATATTTTAACCAGAAGATCAGAACTTTTTATTGCAGGGATTAAGCGACACTTCGTATTAACTCCAAGGAAAGAGAGAGAGTCAGGTTTAAAATAGTTAAGAAATGTATTTCTACACAATTTAAACAAGACTAACTTTAACACTCTGTGTACTGATGGAACTAAGGTGGAGTGAGACGTGTGATGATGGTGTGTGTGTGGAGTTTTATTCAGAACCAGCAGATCCAGAGAAGCAGTTAGTTCTGAGTGGGAGTGAATGTTTTGCTCTAAACTTTAGTAGGAGATTTATAACACACACGAAACGCCATCTGTCGGTCTACGTACCCCAGGGGAAGCCTCCGTTAGATCCAGAATGTCGAGGTCCTCTTGGACCCTCCTTGGTACCGAAGCCGGTAGAAAAGCAGCGGTGCCGACCAAACTAGTCTTGGAATGCTTCCAGGTCACGACAGGTTATCATTGGCGTTTCCGAGACCCTGAAGGGGTCGTGAGGTTCAGCTTTTATTCTGAAGGAACCGTTGCGGTCAGGTGTAACTTGCAACAGATTTTATCCAGCTTGTCGAGGTTCTTTTGGCTGAAGAGGAAGTCCGGATGGCCTGTCCGAGACTTCTCTAGAACGCTTTAACTAAAGAAAAGGTGGCGTGGAATAGTTTTTATAATTGTCATATTTTGGTTTACTGGCGAATCAGAATTTGACATGCAAAAGAGGGCAAGTAATAACATTGTCATTTCCCAGATTGATTGAAAATTGGGCTCACATTATTATTGGTAATTAACAAAGTTGCTGATTATGCCCATCCATCCATCTTCTGAACCCGCTTTGTCCACGCAGGGTCGCCGGGGGTGGGTGGGGGTGGGGGTGGACTGGTGCCTATCTCCAGCAGTCAACGGGCAAGTAGGCGGGGTACACCCTGGACAGAGAGCCAGTCCATTGCAGGGCAACACAGAGACACACAGGACAAACAACCATGCTCATACACACTCACACATCACAAAATGCCCTATAGGTTATAAATTGTAAGTCGCTTTGGATAAAAAGCGTCTGCTAAAAAAAAAATAAACATAAACATCACACCTAAGGACAGTTTAGACAGACCACTCAACCTAACAGTCATGTTTTTGGGCGGTGGGAGGAAGCCGGAGTACCCGGAGAGAACCCACGCATGCACAGGGAGAACATGCATCCTCCATGCAGAAAGATCCCAGGCCGGGAAGCAAACCCAGGACTTTCTTGCTGCAAGGCAACAGCTCTAACCAATGCGCCACTGCGCAGCCTTGTTGATTACGTATTTATCAAAATAGTTCTTGTCTTCGCTTGGTAACAAAGGTGAAGCAGTTCAGATGAGCAGAGTGCATGAAAGACCTTGGCCACTATCTCATGTAGATTAGGCTGTCAGAGACTTTATGTCTCTGCTCGAGCAGACGCAGCAGATCATGACCTTTAGGTGAAAAACAGGACATTCATGACGCTACACTCTTTTGCGACACCATTTCATCATTTACTATCGTTGTCATGAGGCTTTGAGGAGGTCATTAACGGTAAGCCAAGTTGTGTTGCAAAATGTTCGCTGGTACATTTAAGAAGGAATAATTTATATCAAAGACTTCCTTCATGTCCATTTAAAAAACTGGGTTTATTGTGGTTTTTAACTATTTCTAGTTTTTTATAAATAATCAGATAAATTACTCTGTTGTCTTGAGAAAATAAGCTTTGACTTTTAGAAAAAAGATATTTTAGCCCATGTTGCTGCAAAACTAGCTTTGTCATCACAAGAACAACGAATTATGTAAAATCTGAATTAAACTGTGCTGCCAAAATAGCCTGACAAGCCATCTTATATATATATGTAAGTATGTTTTATTTATGTAGCACTCATCACAGATAAACAATCACAAAGTGCTTCACAAACAAAACAAGTCATAAAATCATAATGATCTTAAAACAGAAATTAATTAAAACAAAAACACATAAAATTAGAAAATATCATAACACAAATGAAAGATTATTACAAATTTAAATATAAAGTTAAATATAAGAAAACAAAATATTTAGGTAAAAGCAGCTTTAAATAAAAGGATCTTCAGCTGTTTTTAAAAGTGTCCAGACTGTTAATACTACCTAAGGATGAAGGAAGTTCATTTCAAAGTTGGGGTGCAACCAGGGGTGGACTGGGACCTAAACTTGGCCCTGGCATTTTTACGAACCGTCGGCCCTCAGAGTGAGGATGGGGGTGCGTTGAATATGAGAGTGGGTGGGGTGGGAGTGGGAGGGTTCTGTTGGCCCAAGCCGGGCAAGCGGCCCACCGGGACAGTGCCAGAAAGCCACATAGGCCAGTCCACCCCTGGGTGCAACAGTCTGGAAGGAGCAATCATCTCGACTTTTATGTATGTGATCTGCACACACCTAATGGATTATAGGAACACCACACTAATATGTGTTTGACCCTCTTTCGCCTTCAGAACTACCTTAATTCTACAAGGTGCTGAAAGCATTCTTTAGAAATGTTGGCCCACATTGATAGGATAGCATCTTGCAGTTGATGGAGATGTGTGGGATGCACATCCAGGGCACGAAGCTCCCGTTCCACCACATCCCAAAGATGCTCTATCGGGTTGAGGTCTGGTGACTGTGGGGGCCGTTGTAGTACAGTGAACTCATCGTCATGTTCAAGAAACCAGTTTGAAATGAGTGGAGCTTTATGATATGGTGCATTATCCTGCTGGAAGTAGCCATCAGAGGATGGGCACATGGTGGTCATGAAGGGATGGACGTGGTCAGAAACAATGCTCAGGTAGCCCGTGGCATTTAAACCATGCCCAGTTGGCACTAAGGGGCCTAAAGTGTGCCAAGTAAACACCCCCACACAATTACACCTCCACCACAACCAGCCTGTACAGTGGTAACGAGGCATGATGGATTCATGTTCTCATTCTGTTTACGCCAAATTCTGACTCTAACACACAACAGCAGAAATCGAGACTCATCAGACCAGGCAACATTTTTCCAGTCTTCAACTGTCCAGTTTTGGTGAGCTCGTGCAAACTGTAGCCTCTTGTTCCTATTTGTAGTGGAGACGAGTGGTACCTGGTGGGGTCTTCTGCTGTTGTGGCCCATCCGCCTCAAGGTTGTGCGTGTTGTGGCTTCACAAATGCTTTGCTGCATTCATCGGTTGTAAGAGTGATATTTCAGTCAAAGTTGCTCTTCTATCAGCTTGAATCAGTCGGCCCATTCTCCTCTGACCTCTAGCATCAACAAGGCATTTTCGCCCACAGGACTGCCGCATACTGGGTGCTTTTCCCTTTTCACACCATTCTTTGTAGTTAAATTAGTTCTGTAGTACCAGTTAGCTAGCTAAGGTCAGAAATGCTCACAAATGATTGATCAACACACTGTGTGGAGTCACATGACCATATTGGTGCCACATTAGGCTTGTTTCCACTACAAGAACTTCAGGGTAGGTTTACAGGAACCTTCCGACATGCGCATGTCTCCACCTGACCGGGCGTCCGAACGGCCGTTTTCAGAGTACCTGCTCTGGGGTAGGTACTCAGAACGACCCGGTGGAGTAGCTGAGCAGAACCTTGAATGGAGACACAACAGCTGAGAGGACTGGGACATCCTATCTCCTGGTCAAGTTCCCCATCCCAGGAACTACCCTGGAGTTCTGGTAATGGAAACATGACTATTGTTGGAGGTGCAAACACACCAGTTGCAGTCACAACAGTAAAATCAGAGGACAGCTCAGATCGTTATCCTTGACCCACCTGGTCCCAGACATGGCTACGCCCGATGGCAGGACATCCAGAACGATCTGCAATTCGCCATCGTCAACGAGCCTTTCAAGTCCCAGGCGAACAAAGGCAACTTCTTAGAGATGAAGAATAAGTTTCTGGCTCGACGCTTCAAGGTAAGACTAAGTTCTGGAGCCTTTTATCATTGTTTGGATTTTACAAACAGAAGCTCAAGCTCCCAAATGTCCTCAGTGTTCCTTTACTTCACAGTCCAGCATCACCTGATACACTCCGTGGTCCGATGACAGATACCCCTAGACACACTTATTTTTTGGCTCAATGGTATTGCTGACCACTGCACTTCTAGAGGTGCTCATCCTGTTTTTGAGCAGGTCACATGTTTCAGATCCTTCCCTCAACATCCCCATTTACTGTATACCTCACTCCCATTGCTTCTTGTTATCGCTCTTGCCAAATTGTGTGGTTTGGTTTCTTTAGTATATATATATATATTTTGCAAATCTGACATCAAAAATTGCATGGATTTTTTAAAATATATGTTTTGGGCTTGAATGAGGTTTTGCAACACGACTCCTGTGTCGCAACACATTTACTATGACTACTTGTTCTTTTTCCTAGACACTCAGTGATTCACTGTGAAAAGCTAATGAATGACCCATAAAAAGCCTGTAATTCTGTTGCAATACAAACACAGATTGCAGAAAAATATGTAGAAAAATAATTCTTTTCTTATAATTTTGCATCTTGACATGTATAACCTGGTTTTTATTTTAAGAAGAAACAACCAGGAAGTGTAAATGCAGTCAGATTTTGCAGTCAGATGCTGCAGCTGCTTGTTGTGCTTTTGTTGTGCGTTTTAGCTGTCAGAGTACAGCACACTTTTGCCATTTTATTATTTGTTTCGGCTTAAAACTTTTTAATTAATGCCTTCTTGGACAGAGTAAACCTTCCTAAATGCCCTTTGTTTGGAAGAATAGAGATTATATCCTGCAGGATTGATGGGCTAATGGCTAGTCCGAATCAACTCAGACCAAAGTGTATTTTAGCCATTTTTAAACCCTCTTATACACCATTACAATTCAATAAACTTAATAATACACAGTTACTAGAGCAGAAATAGAAATGTCTGGATTCATAGAAAATGCTACAGTTAACTAGCCCTGAAATATAGACAAACCATAGTAGTAGTAGCAAAACTTTATTCTCTGCAGGTTTGTCTAGCTAGGCTTCATTGTAGCCCCAGTAGTTCGACCATTAGCTTGGCTAAGTGTAGGCCAGGCAAATCACAGCACTCTCTCTGTAGAGAGACGTTTGAGACAGGAGCAGGTAGAAGTTGTTCTTTGGCGGTTTATGACGGACCGTCCAGGTTTTCTGTAGTGATGAATATGTCACATTGTACGTGGCTCTGATTGGTTCTAGCGTTGTCCAGTCGCATGCAGAGACAGTTTGAAAGCCAACCATAGATTCCACTCCAAGACTGAGCTCTGTCTATGGGTTGTGGCCAGACTTATATTCATATATGTAGAATAGATTGCCAGGCTAACAGTTAAAACTGTAACATTTAAATTTTTAAACCACTATGACATTTTTTTTAGATTAGAGTTGTTTAAAGATGGCAGCAATTCATTTTGGTTTTAATTGCAGTCAGACTAGCCTTTAGCTCATCAGTCCTGCTGTCAGCATTTCTCCAAACGGAGGCTGTTCAGGAAGCTATCTACATCAAAATGGCCGTCAAATCACTTAACCTTGGAACCTTAGAAAGTTCAGAGCACATTATGCAGAAGAAGCTCAAGATACCTTGTAAAAGTTGCGTAATTATATTAATAATGTGTTTATTATTATTATTTAGGGCAAACAAATGTTCAAATAATCACGTTGCGGTAGGATTTTTGTCTCTTCACCAGCAGCAGCCTGACACATTATGTCCTCCGCTTGTTCACTTAGTGGTCAGATACCAGAACCAGACTGAAAATATGTGAGAAAAACAAGAAATTCTATCAATGTTTATAGAAAAGGTTGTAAAAATGTAACAATCTATTGTTTCAGAGTTTGGTTTTGTTTAGTCTTCATGGTTTTTGTGTTCAGGTTTTGTTTTAAGCTCGTCTGGGTTTAGTTTTGGGCTGGAACCTCCCGGTTTGACGAATGTTGATTTCATGCTTGTGACGTTTTTTTTTTTTTATTTCACTCATTGCTTCTGTGATTTTCTTTTAAAACCCAAGCTTTGTCTTTGTGTTTTGCCTCTCTTCCTGTTTTATTTTGAAAATCCAGCAACTTTAGTTAATAATTTTTCACCTAAATTATTCTCTTGTTATCACCTGGTTCCTAAATATCTACGTTTTCCTTCATTTCCCATTTGACCGTGGATGTTTGGTAACAAGCCACATCTTTCAGACACAGTCATGTGGATATCCTTGAGCTGAACTGACCCACGTTATTAAAACCCATCATTACTGAACCACAGCTCGGTAATGAAACAACCCAACCGGATGTTTAAAACATCAAAATCTGTCGTGCAGCAGCTCCATAAACCCTGGGCTTTATTCTGGTTTCATTCCTCGGGGGCTTTAGAGACTGATATTAGGAAACACTGCTCTGATGAGCTCACATAAAAAAAAAAGACATTTTTTTTATTTTTGCTGCTGTTAATGTTTGGTTCAGTGTGTAAAATAAAAGGAAATTATAGAATTTTTCATTTCTGGCTGTAAGTTAAGTTTAAAAACAACCCCAAAAAGTCACTTTTTTGTGTCTGGATACATTAAAAAGAGTTAAAATACACCTAAAATACATTTAGATGTTTCGTTACTGAAGTTAAATTAAAAATTGTAGTTTTGATGGCAGGTTGTTGGCAGAAAACAAGCCATAATAAAGCAAAAAAGATAGATAATAAGCCAAAATTTTCACGTCTTTTTTGTGATTTTTTTTGTGGCCAATATGATTTTATGTTTCCACTGCAAGTAAAAAATAATAAAATCTCCCATTTTTAAAAATTGGAAGTATTTAATGAGCTCTTTCCTTGCCTGCTGTCACTTGACCCTTGACCTTTAGTTGTTGGAGCAGGCGTTGGTCATAGAGGAGCAGCTGCGGCGGGCGGCGTACCTGAACATGACCCAGGACCCGAGCCACCCAGCCATGGCGCTCAACGCCCGCTTTGCCGAGGTGGAGTGTTTGGCGGAGTCACACCAGCACCTCAGCAAGGAGTCGCTGGCAGGAAACAAGCCAGCCAACGCTGTCCTGCACAAAGGTTAGCAACCACGCAAGCTGGGACGATGACTATGGAACTTCATGGCAGATGGTTGATGATGTAAAAAAACTGGGCTTGAACGGCTCATCTATAGCAACAGCTCGTTTCCACAGAGCTCTTCGTCAAAGTCTGAACTAAGAGCGAAACTTTGATTTATTTCTGGATTTAGAGAAAAGTGTTGGAGATCAAATAAATCAACCAGTTTGTTTCTATCCTGCTGCTTTGACCTCGTTTGAACCTGGATTTGACTTCGGTAATCATGCAACATTAATTGATAAATTCAAACATTTCCTCGCTGGCCGTGTTTATTTTTGTCTGCTGGGAGACCAACAAGCTCAGAACGGCACCAGCTTTAGTAATGTTATAACACCTAATGATTGATTCTACACTGTACACAATAAAATGTTGAATTAACTTAACCAAATGATGTCAGCTGGTTCCACTAAACCTAGTTGCTTAAATATAAAAAAGCAACATGCCATTATCAAAACTATTTATAACCACTCTTTACATTTAAAGGGACTATAAGGAAGTTTGACAGCCAAAACATGTATAGAAATAATACATTTCTTCTTCATACATTCTCCTGCAATGTCCTGGTCCTGTAGAATGAGCCCTGGCATTTTTACTGTGATTGCCTGTTTTTCTGTAAAATCACAGATAAAGAGAGCTACTCGGGTTGAGCAGGCTGCTTCATGCGCGTTCACGCTCAGGCATAGCCCGTAGCATTTGCTATCCGTAGCTTTAGCAGCAGAGAGTGAGGTAGTGCTCCTAACGCTGTTCCTAACGCCTAGTGATGAACCTAGCTACATTTCTGAGGACCTTTAGCTACTTTCTGTAGAACTTTCTTCTAGATATTTCCTGCAAATTAGCAACAAAATAGCCATTTTCTCTCCGAACCGTTCCTTGGTTTGACGTTGTTTCAGGTGTCATCAAGGATATAAATGTTATAGATACTGTGAATGTTACTAGTGTAGCTCACCTTGTAAGATGTCTGACTCCCATGCAGGAGACTTGGGTTCGATTCTGGATGTGAACATAGTTTATTTAGAGTTTCTTTTTTACATTAATGGTATATTTTTTTACAGTAAGATGCCCAAATTTTTGGGTTAAACTTTCATTTTGGAACAATTTTTCAAGCAAGGGAAGGGAATGATCAGAGCATGCAGGAGGACTGACCCATCATACACCTTTGTCGCCTGTGCTGAAGAGAAAGGTACAGAACCAAATAATTTAATTGATTAGCTGCGCATTCTCCTGTCCTCTGTCCTCCGGGCCACACACACACACACACACACACACACACACACGGTACTGTTTCAGCTGTTATTTTCGTTAAGGAGTGTGCACGTACAGCATGCGCGCCTCGTGCACGAGCCTACTATTGAAGCTGCCGTTACGTTTTTGGCCTGAGGGGGCAATCACAAGCATTAAAATTCAAAAGTTTGTAAAGTCCCTTTAAGCAACTAGGTTTAGTGTAACCAGCTGACATAACATGGTTAAGTTAATTCAACATTTTATTATTTATGACCATCATTCACCTGCCACCTTTCATGTTAGGCGATCTCAAGCAATATGGCGCCATTATTGGTCATCTATAACATAATTAACTACAATCTACACAAAATAAACGAGATATTTGAGCCAAAATAAAATTTTTACCTTAAATTTTATTCTATGTATATGAATAAAAATTTGCTGTGATTTCTTGCGTGCGTGTGAGTCAAAATGAAGCCAGTGGTTCGTGAGTTATTAGCCTAACAAACGTTTAGACAAAAAATATAATAACTGTTAAAACAATGTGGCTCAAATTGGGTATGTTGGTTGTAAGATTATTTTCTTCAGTATTGCTGCAACGTTGAGTTTAAATTTGAACTCATCTGTGTTTAAAAAAATCTTATTGGTTTGCTAGTTTATAGATTTTGATGGGAGCGTGCTTTTATTGTTGTCATTATAGTGTTGAACCAGTTGGAGGAGCTGCTGAGCGACATGAAAGCTGACGTGACGCGGCTACCGGCCACGCTGTCCAGAGTCCCGCCCATTGCCGCTCGCCTGCAGATGTCCGAGAGGAGCATTCTCAGCCGGCTCGCCAGCAAGGGCACTGAGATGCACACTCCCCCGGTCAGCACACACACACACACACACACACACACACACACACACACACACACACACACACACACACACACACACACACACACACACACACACACACACACACACACACACGTGCGCACACACACACACACACACACACACATGCGTGCGCACACACACACACGGCCACAAGCTGAAACCTGCTAAAGCTGCCAGGGGGGAAATAATAGATGGATGGCGTCCAATGAATACACACAAGCTTTTAAAGTGTCCAAACCTGTGATTCCTAACCTCACAACTACTTAGTCAGCAGCTTTTACATTTTTTTCTGTTTCAGCTTACATAAAGCACCATAGCAGTGTTTTATCTCATATCCTGCTCTTGTTTCAGCCCATCCCTCCAGGACCATACGCCACCCCTCAAAACTATGGAGCTCCCTTCACCCCCGCACCCCCAAGCACCCTCCACATGGGAGGAGCCAACTACAGTCAGATGCCGCCCGGATCCTTCATATCAGGTCGGTGACTGAAGCTTTGTTGTTTGGATGTTTAAAGAGTTAGAAAAAGGTGGAGCAAAGCACCTTTGTGGATCTTAAAACAGTTGAAAAAAAAACAACAAGAACTTTTGAGGTACTTATAAAGATCACGAGGGTTTTGATATTTATAGTAGTCCGGATAATTTACCGAAGGAAGAAATCCAGCTCCGTTTGATCTGTTTGACACTTGGCAAGTTAATGATTTAAGCCAGATTTATGCTTCTTTCTTTGCTTCACTGCCTCAAGCAAACCAACTGATTAAATCTCAGCTCGGAGTTAAAGCTGGTGACTGGAATAAAAAACAGTACACTTAGATAATTCTGAGCCAAATCCAGCCCCTGATCACCCTCTTTTCTTTAAATGATGAATACATTTGCTGATGAGGATTTAGCTTAGAGCGCCATCATTTTAACCTGGCAGTCCATACTATACATCAGGGGTCCTGAAATAAATGTGTTCAAGGGCCAGAGGTTTTTCCAGCAGACACCGTAAGATGCTCTTCTAGTTAGTTTTATTGTATTTTAACTTATTTATAATATAAAAGGCTTTGTTTTCCATCCAGACTGTTTTGATTGTAGTTTTAGTTGTGTTTAGAGAACATACACAATTACTGAAATGTGGGACATGAATTTTGCTGCTAAACTTCAAAGTCCCCTAATTGGGGGGTGCTGGTTGGGGGGCCTTGTGGAAAGGTGTGGCACGCTGGATGTGGGCCGCAAGTTCAAGTTCGCTCCTGTACATGTAAATATATATTCTGGCCATGACCCATCAGCTGTAGGAGTGAAATCAACAAATGTCTTTCAAACTGTTTCTGCTTGCTATTGGACAGCGCTAGGACCAATCAGAGCTACAAACATCATGATGTTTGACATCATCACAATCAGTCAATGGGGCAGGCCGCCAGTCACCATCGTAGAAGAAAAATCCTGAATCTGGACCCAAAGTTGAGTCCAAATTACAACTAAAGTGCAGGGTGTTTCCTGGCTCAAACTGAGGCAGAGGTGGTACCTTCCTGACCGTGCACCAGCACATGCACACTCTGTGCATTCAACTGCCTCACTTTTTTAAAGGCAAAATATTTTTTCGTTAAGTGTTTTAATCTAAGTTTCTGTTGATTACCGGTAGTTGAATATTCCATTTGACGTTTCAAGTGAAACAAAACTGGTTTGCTGCTAAAAAATATGAAATAAATCAAAGTTATCAGGCTGAAATAACAGACTCTTATTATGAAAGGCTCAATCATATGCATTAGATTGGTGTTTAGTTCCTTTTTACCATCTGATATTTGTAGTTAAAATATTTTTAAATATTTGACCTACAGTTCAGTAACATTTTAGGTTTGTAATAATGACACTCATCTTAGTCAAAATAACACAAATATATGCAGTAAAATATAATGCATTTCATTAACATGCATTTGACCCATCCCTGTGGGGAGCGGTGAGCTGCAGCAGTGGCTGTGATCGGGAACTATTAACCCTCCAATCCAACCCCAAAGCTGAATATCAAGCAGGGGAGGCATTGGGTTCCATTATTAAAGTCTTTGTATGACCCGACTGGGATTTGAACCCCGATCTCCCAGTCGCAGGGCGGACACTCTACCACTAGGCCAGTGAGATTCTCATACATCATTGAAGTAAAAGAAGAGACTAAGTCTAAGTTGATGCCAAAGCTGTTTCAAATGAGTGCCACTCCTGAGTCACCGCCATTTTTGTTGTTTTGCTTCAGCAAAGCTCTTCCATCGTCATAAAGAGACAGCTCAGCCATAGTGGTTCTAAGCCCCACCCCCCAATGTCCCTCTACAAACATAGTGCGCTGTGACTGGCGTGGCCTACATGTAACCAAGCCAACGGCAGACCTGCTGAGGCTACAATGGAGCGAAGCTGGACCGAGCCCGCAGAGCTACTTATCTGCTACTGCTACGGTGTGTCTAGGTTTCAAGACTACCAAAATTTGGACTAAAATCTCAGATTTAAAGAATATCTTGGATAAAAGTCACTCTTTCTTTCCATTTTTTTGAGTTTTAGTTTCCATCAGCAATAATTCGGGGTTTTCGAAAACATGCATGAAAACGGAAGCAAACCAATTTCTCCGGTCACAAATCTCCAGGTTTTATTATGACATATCCGTAGCCTCAGAGTTAGTGGCATAACCCAAACCAACCCTCCACCCCCACCCCTTCCTCTTCCTGACGGAGAAGCTGAGATCTGGTTAGAGATCGGGATTTGATTACTTGGTAACTTGAACTGTTTATGGGCAGGAAGAAAGAATCTGCAAAATGCTGCCTCTATCATTAAAGAAATCATCTCTGGAATTCTGTCTTTGTGTAGTTTTGTTGTTGTGGAAAAATCATTTAGCAAGGAAAATGGGAAAAACATGTCCCGGCCTTGTGATGAAAAAAAAAACCAAAAAAACCCAGGCTGTTTATGGGAAACGTGAATTTCAGGGTTTCTGTGCCCTCTCACATCCTTAAATGTGTATCATAAAGAAACGCCCGGTGGCCTCTTAAGCAACGCTTTGTCACCTTCAGCAGCTTAAAGTTGTAAAATCCTAGGGGAAAAAATCCATTACAGTGAGTTGGGGAAAGAAAAAAAAACATGTAGAAGGGTTTATGATGTGGCTGCCAGACAGTCACCTGAAACAGACATTACCAAAAATCAAACCCAAACGAGTGGCGCTGCTAAATTAAAACATTCCCATCACTTTGCACCAGCTCAGCAGTTACAGGATCTAAATAAGTAAAGCGCGCAATCTGGACTGCAGAGTTGGGAGTCCGTACCCCCCTCCCCCGGAAGTCTGATTTTAACGCTCACTGTTCACTCAGAAATAGTCGTTAACAAGCCGTGGTTTCTTCTGCTTTTCAAATAAAATAGCTAAAGACTCAAAAACAAAACGTTCCCCCCTTTTCAGGCTCCCGTCCCAATATTCTCTGCCTGTGTTCTGTCAGAGCTCGCTGTGAATTTATTTTCTCCTAATTAGTTTGGTACCAGCACATGCTCTCCAGACGCTCGCTCTGCCCTGCATGCGTGTTCGTGTTCAGAGATGTTTGGAGGAGATAACTGGTGCAACCTGATATTCCCCCAGTAGCTTAGCCCCAAAAACATTTAAAATAAAATAAAATAAAAACACAACACCCAGCTCTGTCTGAGCTACTCCTGCCTGCTCACTCACTTTATCTTGATTATTTATATTTTCTTTTGTAATTGTAGACTGAGACATCTGTCAGAAACATTGCGTTTTAGAGAGCCGGGGCCTATCGCTGAAAATGTCATTATCCTCGGGCCGCCTGAGTCCAAACGTGCCAAGAAAACGTTCAGACTTTGTACCAAGGTATTTTGAGAGGGACAGAAACCACAGCAGCTTGGTTGTGTAAACGTTGTTGTGACTTGTGAACTGGCACAGGGCTGGGCCCAGCGCTGGCTGTTCAGAAATAGTCGTTAACAAGCCGTGGTTTCTTCTCACCAGGGCGCCGTGCCTGAGCTGAACCGCGCCGAGCCGGGCTCAAAGGTGTACAGAGTTGGGTTCATGGTCCTGGTTGGGGTCATTCTGGTCTTTCACCCCTTCACGTTCACACACGATGAGAGAAGGAACGACAACATGTGGCTTAAAGGCCAGAAGTGACTCTTCGTCCACTCCTTAACTCATTCACTGCCAGCTGTTTTCTGATCAGAAAGCCGCTGAATGCAAGCATTTTTTAAGCATTTTTTCTGTTTTTTGAAGAGTCACGGAATACTGAGCTCTGTGAACACGTAAAATACCAAAAGAAAGTGTAGACTCACTTCTTACATCAGGAAGAATCAGCGTGTTTCTAGCTTTTTCCGTTCTTTCAGAATCCGTTGTTGAAGTGTGAGCTGCAGAAGCTTTTCCGGTTTGTGCCTCGCTTTAGGCATCGTGGCCTCCCAAAACGATCCCCTAATTCATGAATTGTCAGCTTCATGATCACATGACATGTGACACACACAGATGAAAATCAACTTTAGAGCCACAATGTTTACTCTCAAGGTGCGCAAGCTCGTTTCTAGGCCCGCCCTTGGATTGACGACTTTAGCAGTCAATGGAAGTGAATGAGTTAAAGGTCTTCACTGAGAAACCATGTGATACTTTTCTTTTTGAAGTACATTCAGTCGTTCTGTGTTGCATAATTTTGCTTAATGTGAAATTCTTCAACCCCTATCACCTGCATTAACTGCAGAAACTAAACAGAGCAAAAAAATTGGGTCAATAAAAGCCAGTCTCTTCTATGTCATGGAAAATTTGCATTCATGACCCCACCCACCTTAGCTTACAACCGTGGGAAAGTGAGAGTAGAGCGCATCTCAGCCAGCAAAAGCTAGCTACCTATTAGCAACTCCACAACATGGTGGAACACATTTGAGCTTGTGTTATTTTTGGAGATAACACATCAATGTTGGCGTTTTACTCAAGACAGAAGTGCTGTACTGTTAGCCAATCAGATGCAACACGTTTGCATTTAATGAGTAGGACTGCAAACCTCACAGATATCGTATACGTAGACACCCCATGGCTATAGTACCAGTGGGCCGCCATCTTGGATGGGTCTCCTGTCATCCCCAGTGCATTCTTTTCAACTGAGGAAGGTGTTTAACCAACTAAAAAACGCATAGCATTATGCTTTTTCAAAAAATCTGACATGATAGTTAAATTATGAATATTTTTACACAAAATAACTAAAAATATAAAATCCCAGCAAGTAGGCCAGGAAAGTCAACAGTAACCCCACGTGATCTGTTTTTAATAGTACACCGGTTGCTGCTACTGTAGGGTGCACAACAAACAGGCATAGTTGTGTTGACTCCTGTTGAACTTAGAGAGTGAGGAACTCACCCAACATGGCGCGGTTACGCTCTGCAGCGCCCAATGGGTCGTCTACGTATTAATGTCTATGGTAAACCTTGGCGCCCGCCCATTTTTATGAATGACATCTCTTCTCTGATTGGCCAACACTTCCACTGCCTCTGCTACATCCATTCATTCATAGGGAAAAATGTGATGTGTTAACTCCACAAATATAACAAGCCCGGATGTGTTCCGCCATGTTGTGGTGGTTGCTAATGCACGGTTAGCTTCTGCAAACCAAGACACGCTCTGCTTTCTTCTGACTACTAAACCAGTTAAACCTTCTGCGGTTGCAATCCAAGGTGGGCAAGGTTTTCTCTGACCCTATCGCTTTTCCATCTATCTTCTTTAGACAGCCAATGCAGGAAATAGAGGTAGGACTATTTTCACATTCTGCATTCATGCGAAACCCAAAGTGACTGGTGGCATTCCATAAAGAACAAGTTTTACAAGGTTTCCCAGTGAATGAGAACATTAAAATGTATCCATGTTAGCTTAGAGAAAGACAAAACAAACTGAATTAGTCTTTAGATTTAAGTGTACAGGCATCCGTGTTGTTTTCCATAAAAGTAAGATGTTCTGTAGTTAAATATCCTCTAAAAATGAACTAAATAAACTAGGTTTTGGCTTTTGTACCACATATTGTTAAAGGAGTTCTCCAAGGAGTTTCCAAAATGTCTCCAAATGTTCTCGAGCGAGAGGCAGGGCCTTGCATTTGTCACTTAAAAAAAATCTAAAATATTTAGCCCAACAATTTTCCTCACAGGTGTTCTCAGTCCAGTTCCTGTGAGAAAGAGCTAGTGACCAAGTTTTCTTACATGACCCAAACTTATAACGACGCATTGTTATTAAATCTGATTCCAGCTGAAATGTCTCAGACCAGTGAGAAACTGGCTTCAGTGTAATGTCCGGGTCAACTTTCTTTGGGTTTGTTGGTGTTGCTCTGAAAAATGTACCTCGTAATGAAAATGCATCCTAGTCACAAGAGAATCACTAGGTTCATTGCTCCCAGGCTTTGATCAATTATGGCTAACTGTGCTTCACACTTCTTATTGCTGAAAAATGACGAAGGTGTCTTCCAACGTTTTACAGGTCAGTTTGTGGCTGTTTGGTTGTTTTTGTTGGCCGAAATTAGCCTCTCCGTGAAGGTATCACATCATCTTCTGATGTAGCATTTTCAGTGAAGTGCAACAATGCACTGAACGCTCCGCAGAAACACTGTCTTGTGTTGGGTATCACAAAATCTGCAGACAAGTTTTGGAAACCCCATTTCTGCCATCAGGAAGTAATGTATCTGCCTTGAAGGAGTCCCACACTTTTTTTAGACAAAGCTTCGTCTTTTAGAGGTGCTTAAATTAAAGTGATGGAGTGAAGCGCATGGGTCTGCAAGCACCTGCCCCCACCAGCTCCGGTAGCTCTATCTCTGACCTCCCTGCAGAGGGACTAAATCTCTACAGGAGCCTGTAAAGTGTCTCATTATCCTGCTGCCTCCACTCTCCCAGCCTCCACTACAGTCTGCCGCTTGTCTGCCCCCACAGAAGCCGCTGCTGGGGCCACCGGGGGAGCTGCAGGTGGAGCCGCCGGGGGCCAGTTCACCGCTGGGGTTTTCCAGAAGACCAAGGAGCATGATGTGGTGCAGCGGCAGCGGGTGGTGGACCTCTGGAAAGACGGCAAGTCAGAGGGGGCCATTGGGCTGGAGCTGAGAATGCCCAAGTCCACGGTGCACAGCATCATTGTAAAGTACCGGCTCAGCAACACGGTGGAGAATCTGCCGCGCAATGGGAGACCAAAGAAACCCTGAAAGAAATCGGGAATGTAGCAAAACTGTAAAAAAGAAGGAATTGGATCGACAAACGAGGCACTTAGACACTCCTGGAATGAGAAGAGCATAAAAGGAGGACAGCTTGATGTGAGAGGGCATGAAATGCCAATCAGTTAAAAGATCCAAAGAAAAAAACTGGAAAAGGTGCTGCCGAAAAGAGGCTCTGAGAAAGAAAACGATACGTTAATACATTCACGGGTTTTTATAACAAATGCAGCAAAGGAGCACTTTTCTCTCCACAGATTTCTAAGACTTCTTTTGTTTTTTTTCTGTTTCTCCGTCTGAGCCAAAAGACCCCCCCCCCCCCCCCCCCCCCCGGATCAATTCTTCATCCTGAGGCTGACTGAACAAGCCTGTCCCCTCGCCCTGACCCCGTACTCCCTCATTCCTCCACACTCCTCCATCTCCACACACGCACACGCTTTTGGATCTCACACACAAAATAAAGCCCTGCAACAAACGTCGTCAATGTGCTGAGAGCAGGGAGACGAAACCCGGAAAGAACAAAGCCGGATCGAGATCATCAGAAAGAAAAAAAAGAAAAGTCTTCCAAATTTAAAGCACTTCTCCCCGTGGACTCTCGCTGTAGCATTCCTAAGCTCAACCAAGCGTAGATGCAAGATGTTAGAAAGTGGTGTGTTGCTTAATTACCAGCAACTCTGCTCTGTTCCAAACTGACAAACTGCCAGTGACGTAATGTATTACAATTAAAACATTTCTTACTGTTGCACCTTTTCCAGGGAGAATTTTCCCTTAAAGGGAGATATCACTCCTCTAGCGTTTACATTTCCTGTTCTTAAACCCCGTCTTCACTGAAGGGAGTATTTATGAGCTCTTCCTCAAAGATGAAGCCTGTAATTTGTCACTGAAAGAGAAAAACGAAATAGAGGAGAGACTCTCTTTGAAGCCATAAGAGGCTTTTTTTTTTGTTCCTCGATCGTCTTTATTGTGACAGAGTGATGGATTCCACGCTGTGGAAAATGTCCCCTGATCCCAGAGAAAATAAAACACTCTGGACTGTATCTTTGGTGTTTCCTGCTCGTTGTGTGAGCAGTAGAGCTGTACATCACCATGACATGCTGAGTGAAGAAACGGGACTAAATTATCAGTTTCGCATTCAAGCCTTATGAACGTTTTGGAGCTAAAAGTGAGTGGTATTTCTCTTTGAGTTTGACCGTAAAGGTGTGGCCAGCAATGACAAGATGGTCTGATTGGGTAGGAGTGATGTGTGTGTGTGTGTGTGTGTGTGTGTGTGTGTGTGTGTGTGTGTGTGTGTGTGTGTGTGTGTGTGTGTGTGTGTTTGTATTTTTTTTGTGTCAGTATAGCATTAAAGGGACTATAAGGAAGTTTGACAGCCAAAACATGTATAGAAATAATAAATTTCTTCTTCATACATTCTCCTGCAATGCCCTGGTCCTGTAGAATGAGCCCTAGCATTTTTACTGTTATTGCCTGTTTTTCTGTAAAATCACAGAAAAAGAGAGCTGATCGGGTCGAGCAGGCTGCTTCATGCGCGTTCACGCTCAGGCATCGCCCGTAGCATTTGCTATCCGTAGCTTTAGTCTCTGTCGCTGTTCCTAACGCCTAGTGATAAACCTAGCTACATTTCTGAGGTCCCTTAGCTACTTTCTTCTAGATATTTCCTGGCAATTAGCAACAAAATAACCATTTTCGCTTCAAACCGTTCTTTGGTTTGACTTTGTTTCAGGTGTCATCAAGGATATAAATGTACAGTACTTTAAATGTAAATGTACTGTAAATTTACAGTAAGATGCCCAATTTATTTTGAGACTCACCGATCGGCATTGAATTCACAGATTAAAAAGATGTGGGTTCAACTTTCATTTTGGAACAATTTTTCAAGCAAGGGAAGGGAATGATCTGAGCATGCAGGAGGACTGACTCATCATAAACCTTTGTCGGCTGTGCTGAAGAGAAAGGTACAGAACCAAATAATTTAATTGATTAGCTGCGCGTTCTCCTGTCCTCTGTCCTCCGGGCCACACACACACACATGACTGTCTCGTTAAGGAGTGTGCACGTACAGCATGTGCGCCTCGTGCACGAGCCTACTATTGAAGCTGCCGTTACGCTTTTGGCCTGAGGGGGCAATCGCAAGCTTAAAAATTCAAAAGTCCGTAAAGTCCCTTTAACAATTAAATTTCAAAACAACAGAAAGGTGATAATAAATAAATTTCTAGTTCACATATTTAAAGTTGGGGTTTTATGGACACGTTATAAACAATATCTTACCTGTTAAACTACAACCTCAGTTTGGCTTTACCTCATTTTCAGATTGATAAGCTAATGACTAGTTACAAAGTGTCTTATATCAATTCCAATGTTAAGAAAATGTATGCAACAGTTTATGCAAATGCGGTTTTATTCCCCTTAATGTAAATTCACGATGTAAAAAAAATGCTACAATAGCTAGCTCCTCGGCTAACCTCTGTAGCAACTAACTACTGATTTAAATGTAAACAACCAGATGATGTCAAATTTGTGGTTATGTTACATCTTATGAATACACTTTTGCATGAACTGTTGTGAAATTTAGGAGATAAGAGTTGTTTTAGGCAGCAGAAACAACACAGCCTATCCATTAGCCCATCAATTCAGCCAGAATTTATGTTTGTTTCTCCAAACTTTTTACAACAGATAAAATATTATTTATCCACAGAACCCACCAGGAATCATCTGAACTACACTTTTAACCCGTTTAACCAAAATTCAAAAGTCTGAATTTAACAAAAAATTATTACATTGGAAAAAAAAAAGAAGATAACATAAATTTTCATATAACTTTGCAGATACCCAATGTCGTGTTTTAGCATTCAGCTAATGTTCCGTCAGGGTTTAGTATCAGTTTCCCACTTTTACTGGTGAATATGCTGAAGCATCAAAACAGACCTAAAAGAACGTAATGTAACATTTAACCAGACCTGCTACCTCGTGAATATCTAAAGCAGTAGTTCCCAAACTTATTTAGCCGCGCACCCCCTTCTATGTCCCGATCATGTCGACGCCCCCCCCCCCCCCAGCCCCCACATCAGGGCATGGCTATATATATATATATATATATATTAGATGTCAAGCTAAACAGACAGGGTTAAAAAAATTCCCCATCACTTTCATTTTTAAATAGTAATTAATAAACATTCGATACCTTTAACAATTTCCTTTGATTTCATTTTAAATAAATATTTAGAGTGCCCAGGTAGCACATAAACAATGCAATTTAACGGTTTTCTTAAAGTAGGAACGTTTAACCTGTGCAGCCAGAGCGATCTCCTTCCTTCTGTTCTGCGTAAACCTGAACTGATCACCTACTTGTGCGTAATCAAATGTCAATAGGGGACAAGATATAGCCATGAGGTTCACTTTTACCTCAGACCGACTTATTGCTGTTTTATGGTGTGGCTGAATCTGCGATCCGCTGCCACGCGGACTGGAACAACAAATGCTGCAGTAACATGAGTTGTAGTAAGGTTCATGAGGAGTCACTGGCTGGAACGGACCCGACTCATCCCAGAAGCTAATATCTTAATTTGACCTTGAATGAAAAATAACCTCTTAAAAGTTTTTATCATGGTGGAGGCAGCGTTCATTTCTGCCTTCAGTCTGACGGCGCGCCGGAGTTAAAGCAGCGTGCGCGCTTATTGAATCTGTGTGTGTGTGCGCGCGCACGCGGCACAGCCGCTCAAGTCACCACGTCTCGTTATTGGCGCTATTTAAACCAATGTTGTAAAATGACTTCTGCCCAGCCCAGATGTGCTCACATGTGCACCCGTGAGCCGTGGTTCAGCCGGAACGCGTCTGACCTCTGACAGACGCACTCTGAACTTCAGATCTTCAGCGCGCTGTTAATAGCCTGAATGGGAATCATTTCTTGATTTATTTAGTTACATCCACAATGTTCTGTGTGTGAGGTTTACAACGTCAGAACACCTGCATGAGGCAGGGTGTTAATTACAATCTGCCAGAATGACTCACCACCTTCAGATTTCTCCAACACCGTTAAAAATGATGAAATACGGAACATATCGGCGTGCGCAGGCCAGAGTGCTGAAGCTCGGCGCATTGTTATTATGAAGCTAGGGCACATGTGGAGGACACACGCGCAAAAATATACTTGTTTTCAATTACATTTATTGGGCCCACTTACTTTTTCTTTGGCCCACCCACAAATGAGTTTCTACGCTAATGGTGACATATGACAGACTTCTCTGAGCTCCGCAGCCATTACACTTTTCACCTCGCGCACCCCCTAGCGGCATCTCGCGCACCCCCAGGGGTGCGTGCACTAGGGCTGGGCGATATGACGATTTTAGACCGTTTTACGGTCTACACATCTGACGGTCTGTCATTTTTGAGAGACCGTTTTATCACGATTCACAGCTCTGGAGTGCACCACACTTTGGGAATCCCTGATCTAAAGAAACTCAGTAAACATGGAGGCCACATTGTTTCTTTTTGTAGTTAAAGGGTGTTTCTCAATGTCAAGGCACCAGGCCTTGCGAGGACACTGTCCTTCCTTGGTCAAAGAAAACGGTTAAATGGAACAGACTTGCATTACGTGACCTCGGCTTCCACGGCGGTCATGTAACGTCATGTGACACGGGAGATAGCGTTATATTTTATATGTATTAGTTTCAATATAAATATATAACGAGACTTTTACTTTTTAAATTGTGTATATGTTTATTAAATTAAATAAATAAGCGAGTTACTTCCCACTAGCCACCGAAGCTGCAACTACTAAGCAACTAACCAACCATAGATAACTTCTTTGGATCTAAATAAACATTTTAAATTAGATGACTTACTTTTAAACTTGAAAATTGTCCCCAAAGTAGCTGCCGGCTTCTGATCCGCCGTCTTTTTGAAAATACCGCTGTGTATTGTGGGTAATTTTTGACCAAGGCTAGGCTACAAGACACCTCCCGTGTATCCTCGCTCAGCTAGCTAAACGGCTAACAAATGGAGAACACACGCCTCGGTAGAACATGAACATTGAAACCGATTGGAACACGTCTTGGCGGCTCCTGATGACGCATCTCCTAGACAACCGGGGCGGGGCCAAGACATCAAGGCAAGGCTCCTTGGCATTGAGAAACACCCAATGATAGCTTAAAGCTTCATGAGTCCCAGAGCTTCGAGGAGGAATCTGCTGAATCTTCTCCTGAAGGAAGGAGAACGACTAGTTCGTAGGTTAGATCAAACTGGCGTAAAGGTCTGAAAACTTTTGGACCACAATGATTGGGTGAAGC